TTTTTTTGAACAACAGCAAGCCACTTTCCTAGGCTGCATGGTGTGATCTGGAGTGGCTGGCATTTTTCAAACAATTCAATGTGGCCACTTGGAAAATGGCAGCCACTTCCAGATTGCACCATTCTGGTCAGCGACAAAGCAGTCTGCTGCTTTCCCAATGCAGTCTATGCAGCGCTGCAGAAAACTGCAGCACTACAGAGACCACATTAGGGAAGCAGAGTAGAAAGATAAGTGCATGATGGGTGATCCGGAGTGGGGAAGACCCAAGGGTCGTGGAGGCCCAGGGGCAAGAAACAGAGCATGGGGTATCTCAGAGACTGAGGAAAGCCTGAGGCAGGAACGGCTGGGCTGGACTGCCCAGAGCCTTTCTCACTCTTGAGGCACTTTATGCGCTGTTTAATGACCACATCAGGGCAAACAGGGGATAAGGGTCATTAAATGAGGCTATCTTGCTTAATGGGTCACAGCGTGTCCGTAATGAGCAAGCTCCATTATGATCATATATGGAAGACTACCTGTAGTGCATTTTACTTCATGTTGTTTAATTGGCATTATTCTATCAAGTTGGATGCCATCTCCCTTTTCCTCAGACTCTTGGTCTTTTCTTCTTCCAGCTGGTGAGCTCACAAAGGACAACAGAAGAAGTTATTACTAATCCTGATCTATGTGACATTATACTCTGCATTCGATTTCTACTTCTTTACTCTGAGGTCATACATTATTTGCTGATCTTTATCTGAATTGGCTATGCCTATTGATTGCAAGCCATCAGCAAAGTCTGGTAAACATTCATCGTAACTCAAAGCCATTAAAAACAGTGAAAACGCATTTAGATTTTAAAAACTCTTCTAGAACAGTACATTTTATCTACTTCAACACCTTGTGCATAGTTTCATAATAAGGCTCATAAAAACAGTACGTTTTTGCTAGATTTTGAACAGCTTTATATTTAAAAGCTGTATTTGAATGATGTATGTTATATATTTCCTTTTTAAAATATATTTAAGTTGCGTTTTTCTGACTTTAAAAGCCTTTTTCACAAAGACTCAAGCAAGAATTCCTGTAGCTCCATTATTTGAATGAAGGAAATTGTAAGAAAACAAACAGCAAACTGGAAAATCTGTGGTTCAATTTTCTCCAATTTTTAAAGGTATGCAAAAAAAAAATAAAAAAAAAAATCTCCGTGTGTAGTATTCTCAATCTCTCCTACTTTGTGAGGGTGGGGTGTGAATAGATGTGTTTTTATGCTGGAGAAACATCACTTTTGAAAATGGCATTTTAAATTTAAATACTATGGAAATGGCACCCAGACAAATGATTATATAAATCTGAATAGGCTAAACTATTTTAAACAGTAGCCTGTTGGATGACCTGTCTACCTACTTATCTGCACTTCTTTGTTTTCTCCTTGACATTTAGTTTCTGTAGTCTTTTTTCAGAATTCAGAAACTCATGGACACTGAATGTACAGTGGGACAAAAAAGTTTCCAGTTAATCTATCTCCATTTTCTACCTAATATAGAGCAAAACAATGTGCAACCAGATATCACTCCAATTTTATCATGCTGAAGGGAAATAGTAAATAAGGATATACCTGAATATAATATACTAGAATAAGAAGAAACTTGTTGGTTTTAGTAGAAACATTTGTTTTTTGTAACACATATATATTACGCCATTGTAAATATCGTATTTTTCGGAGTAAAAGATGCACCTTTTTCCCTCAAAAAAGAGGCTGAAATCTATGGTTGTGGGCTGACTGCCATAGGGCCCACAACCATAGAGCACACTCCTAGAGCGGCCGCTGCTGGAAGAATCGGAAGCTGAGTTCCGGAGTTTGGAAGCCAGAGAAGAAGTTATGCTTGGAGTGCAGTGGCGGGGGTGGAATGGTGGCGGCGCCCTGGCCCTGCAGGGAGAGCTGGGCCAAGCCATGGTGAAGCTGGGAGGCATGCGAGCTGGGGGCGGAATAGGGGTTCACACAACCACCCTCTCCAGCTGGGCACAGCTCCATGCACTGACCTATGAAGTATCCAGAATGTGCCAAGCCACGGGAGCTGGGGGGCGGGCAGAGCGCCACATGGCTTGGCACCTTGGGGATATTCCCTAGGTCAGTGAATGGCGCTCTGCTCAATTGGAGAGGGGTTTTGCTGAGAGGCTGCTCGTGAGGATGGTCACCTCATGGCTGCTTCACCCCTGAGGCTGTGCCTGGCTCTTTGGGAGCCCGCTCGCAAGGGAGCAGCCACCCAGCAACTCCAAAACAATAAGCCCTCCCCTGATAATAAGGCCCAAGCCATATTTTGTAGATCAAAAGAAAATAAGATCCTGTCTTATTTTCGGGGAAACACGGTAGATAGAGGGAGAAAAATACAGTAGGTAGGTAGGTAGAGAGNGGGGGGGAGGGGAACGGCGCACCCAGATTTTCAGCCTCTTTTTTGAGGAAAAAAGGTGCGTCTTATACACCAAAAATTACAGTATCTAATATCAGCAATTGAGGTAAACCAAGGTAACAAATAGGATTTTTAAAATCCAAATGAATTCATGGAATGCTACTTTATTGTTGTAGGGTACAGTATATCCTCAACTTATGATCATCATGGAGTCTGAAATTTCCATCATAAGTCGTGATGGTCAAAACCTGAAGCACCCACATGCCTGGATCCAATGTTACAAGTTTTCTATGGTGATCATTAAGTGAATAACAGTCATTAAGGAAATCCATGTATTCCAATCATAAGTTGAGTGCTACCTGTAACAAAATCTTATAATGCCTTCCTGTAAATCACATCCCTCAAACTAACAGTTATAATTGATTGGTTTTGAACAATAAGACTATTTATGAAAAAAATCAGGAAGACATTAAGATGCTGAGAGACAAAGTCACTTCAAAAATCCAACTACTGAATGTTATCACTTCACCTACCTCTATCCATTAATCTTAAAATATACAATTGGCAATAAAAGATACTTCATGGTTGAAATGCTGTTTGATCAGATTGTCCAATAGCTTAAAACTTGTCCATCTTGAGTGATTTTGGTGGCTCATTATGAAACAACATGTATCTGAAAGTATCCTCAAAGTCAACTATTAAAGGAATGGCTGCCTCCTTCCTTCTAGAATATCGTTGGTGGAATTTTGGTTATTGATTGCTTATGCATAAAATGCAGGATTCAATACAAATTACATTTTTTAAAAATTGTAAACATGAATCCTCTCACCGCAGCTCTTTTACTGTAATGCAAGTACAATTACATACACTTGCTTTTTAAAGAAAAAAATGCAGTATTTATGAATGAAAGAAATGTAACTAGTGAAGGTCAGTTTCCAGTAAAATTAAATATCATTATTTTGTACTGTAGCCTGAAAATCAAAAGTGTGAATGCTGACAAATGACTCTGCTTAGCCAGATGGTTCCATAGATGTACAGGTACATTGTTTAAATTCAAAAGCATTCTATTATGACTGAATTCATTAAAATCCTCTCAAAGGTTTTTGTTCTAAATGTACCTATGAACTAGTACTAGAAAATTCAATAAGAAGGAACAGCACCATTACATTTAAGCTTATATTGGTAAGGCATATTTAATTAACGTTCTACTTCTCACATTTTGTTCTGGATGCAATTTTCACCAATATACTAGCCCTAAATCCAGAGTTTTAGGAATTTTTATTTCCATTAGTTAAATCACTGTTTAATTGCGGTTTCATGTTTCTGTTAGCTCAAATGAATTGATAATTTTTTGCCAAACGCAGTCTTCATTTAATCTGTCTTAATTTTAATTGTTTAATATTATCTTTTTATCACTTTATAACCGCCCAGATTTGCTACAAGATGGGTTCCATATAAATTTAATAAACAAACAAGTGAACAAATAAAAGAATTTGCATGCGTGTTCCAATGAAACATATTTACATGATTATTACACTCTTTTAGTAATGCATCTTACGATAGCAAAAATAAAGTCTGCTGCAGTGAGCCCAAGCTGTGAGGATGGTTTCTGAAATTCAGATCACAAGGAAGTCGGTATTGCAGATTGTCAAATCTTATAGGTTTTTTTATCACTCTTTACCCCCCTCTTTGGAATGCACTGGATGATTAACAATGAAATTAATGTTTATATCTA